ATGTATTGTGTATAGAATATAGTGAAATTACTGTGCATGTATAAGCTGGATAATAGAAGCATGAAATTTGAATAGTAATTAGAGGAAAAGGGGAAAAGTAATTGAGTATTAGTTTGTGAACAGGGAAATGGGATTTAATGGGTAATTGAGGAAGAAATAAAGGATTGAGAATTAAGGAAAATGTATGTTAGCAAATATAGAAGTGGGATGATTAGTGTAGAAATTTGTGGAAAATCGTTAAAATGGTATTTATATCACTAAGTGCTGTACAAAATAATTAAAAAATTCAGGTAATTAAATGTATAATCATTGACTCTAAAATGTGCTATATAGGGTGTACTATTTTAGGCCTAATAAGAGAAACGGACAAATGATTCTGGAATCTTTCTGTATTTGTGAAGAATTGGAGATGAAGTGAGTGATGGCCAAAATTGTGGAGTTTCAATACGGTGATATATTGTGAAGTTAATTGCATAAATAATTAAGGAATTTTTTAGGTGGATTTATGTTCTTGATGTCTTTGGTTATAAGCACATGTATTATATGAAAGTTTAAAATCTTTTTTCTCAAGAATTATAGCTATAAATGGCCGAAACAAGTAAATAGATGGTGCATGATTTTTGTAATAACGATAAGATTTAGTATTTAGGTTAGGGTTTTTAAAAGGATTGTGAATATAAATTGTGGTAATTTTGATGAAGCAAGTATCTAGAAAAGTTTGGAAACTGACCTGGTAAAAAGTGGAAGAAGCGTCGTCTTCTGTGTGAATAGGGAAGCAAACGAGCCGAGCCGAGTCGAGCTTTGAGTTATTCGAGCCGAGCCTCGACTAAATTTTACCGAGCTCGAGTTCGACGAGCCTGCAATTTTCGAGCTCGAAAAAAAATAAAAAATTTATTTTTAAAAAAATAAATAAAATAATATTTTTTTCTGAATAAATAATAAAATATTAAGGATATATACGTAATTTTACTATAAAAATAAAAATAAAAATATATATAATATACGTAATTTTATTATTAAATAAAAATAAAAATAAAAAAAATATATATATATACTCAAGCAACGAGTTTAATATTCTTAGTTCGAGTTCGAATCGAGCCGGCTCGAGCTCGACTCGAGCTTGACTCGAGCCGCTCGCGAGTGGCTCGCGAGTGGCTCGATTCGTTTGCAACCCTATGTGTGAAGCTGTAAACGGTTGAAGTTGTGCAAATGGTTGAAGCTGTTAGTGGCCAAAAGTTAGAGAAGAAAGGTGCAGTAAATTCTCTGATGTGATTGATTTTTTGCTGGTAAAATGGTGCTTAGACCGATGGGGTTGTCATAAAGTGGTAGAAGTTGGGGCAGAGTTAATGGCATTTGTTGTGGATAGTAAGTGAGGTAATGTAGGGTTGGTACTTGTTGCATGTAAATGTCTGCATAGTGGGAGATAATTGTGTTGGGCTTGGGCTATGTATTCTGTACGTGTTATTACAATTGTCAATTGACGAAAATAACCTCCACATCCAACAATAATTGCAACGTAACCGCTTGACCAAAAATTACTATTCATAACCCAACTTTCTCTTTTATATTGTTAGATGTAAGATGTGTTAGTGCATATATATTATTACATACAATTGTATCTATGATTTTACAATCTCTAAATCAGCAAAATAAAAAGAAGCGATTGGAGTTTGGAGCCTGGGGTCTTCAACGTTTTCTTTGTCGTTGATTTAGTTAAGGGAGGGACTAAATTCACACCCCTTCATACTAAATCTGCACCCTATACATTCTTTGTTAGATATTGATCCTCTTAGCTTTTAAAAATTAAATCAAAACTTGATATAGTGATATCTTTTCTAAAGAAAAAAAAATCACACCCTAATCTTTATGTAAGTTTTATATACAAATTCCTTGTTCTTATTTATTTCATTTCAAAATTCATCTTTCTCTAAAGTTGCTTTAATTTTGTTCTTCTTTCCTATTATATATGATTTACTACCTTTATTTTGTTAAACTTTTTAACACTTACACATAACCAAATAGTAAATATTCGTATGTAGTTAATATGAATGCATATTGCACTTTGAAAATTGCTTAGATTTTGATTTAATGGTATAGAAATATGTAGATATTGTTGTTTACATCATTATTAATAATTGAAAAAATTTTTATAGTTAGATCAATTATAAATTAATATTCTCAGACAACTTGTAAAATGTTTGAAATGTTCCCTATTATGATGCAAACATTTGTTTTACACCTCTTTTTTGCTGTGTAAATATATGTTTCTTAAAACTAGGGGTGGGCAAAAAATCCGATTCGATCCGAAACTCCACCAACCCGATCCGATCAAATCCGAAAAATAGGATATTCGATCCGATTTTTCTTGCCGGGGCAGATGCGAGTCGAGTACCCGCAAAAACGGATACAGATACGGATTAGCAAAATAAAAACCTGCAGGTACCCGACCCACAGGGTATATTATATAAATATTAAAAAAATAAGGGTTCATTATATAATTTTATAATTTTTAATCCTAAGTGTAAGTAAAGTGGTTCACAACCTCATATTTTAATCTCATATGATCCGCCTCTCCTCATCTTGTCTAAAAAAAGTGAATATTCTTGATGAAACCTAAACCAAATGAATAAAACAAAGAAAAATTTGTGAAACTCTATCATAAAAATTGTTCATCCCTTTCATCCTTTTTCATTTTTATTTTACTTCCATCGATATTTACTGCAAAATTTTGATTAATTCAATCAAACATTTGTGTATGGAGCTCCAATTTTCTGTTAGCTAGATAATGAAAACATTTGTCTCTTTCATTTATTTATTTATTTTATTGCAATTGTGTCTCTTAAATTTGTTTCCTTTATTTTAGTGCAAGAAATTTATTTTTCTTTTTCATCACCTTTAATGCAACAAGGTCTATTCCAAAGATGTAAGAAAGTTGGGGAAAATTTTTCAAGATTATTTTGGTTATACTTTCTTCAAAAATTTTTAGCTCTGTTCAATTCTTTTCCGGACTTGATTCCACAATCGACTCATTTTGGATGTAATCTTGTACCACAATATCCTTAAGGAAGTTGGAAAAGTTGTCATATACTTATTATTCTTGTGTTTGTTATGTTGTAAAAGGATGAAATACGTGAGAATGGTGATGTACTCAAAATTATCATAAAACTTCGTTTTATCCTTGTGTTTGTTATACTTGGAAAAGTTGCCACATGCTTATTATCCCTGTGTTTGTTATGTTATAGAAGGATGAAATGCGTGAGAACGGTGATGTACTCAAAATTATCATAAAATTTCGTTTCATCTATTAGATATTATAATTCTAATATGTACTAAATTTATGAAATCGGTTTGATTATTGGATGAAATGTGTGAGAATGGTGATGCATGGATTTTGATTATAATATATCTACCAATGTTAATTGGAAAGTATACTTTTTTTATTGGAAAACATGTTGATATTGTGAAAAATATTTTTTTATTGGAAAATAGTTTTTTTTTAGGGGCGGGTACCCTATGACCCACCCCTTTTTTTCGGATACCCGAATAGCGGGTACCCGAAAACATTAGGAGTGGGTTAGAGTCGCAAAATGGCTGATCCGATATTTTAGAGTCGAGTCAGTCATATCTTATTAGGGACAGGTACCCGACCCGTGCCTACCCCTACTTAAAACTATAAAAAAGCATCAAATAAACTTACAACTTAAAAGCTAAGACTATTTTTGTCCAATAAGTGCATAAGGTGTGCATTTAGTATGGAGGGTGTGTATTTAGCCCCTCTCTTTAGTTAATTTTAGTTTCTAATCTTGCCAAGTTAAAAAAACATGAAAAAGCCATCTATCGTGTCTCCATTGTGCCTGCGTCTCCCTTGAGCAATATATTGGACAATAGATTGGGCAAGTTTTAGTGTTTATTAAACTTTCAAGCTCACTCACATATAAAATCTGACAACTATATTTACAAAATTCAAGGACAGTCAACCAAGACCCACATAATGCTAGCTTTAAGATAGAAGAATAATAAGTGCAGCTTATGCTATTAGCTTTGATGAATCAATTTATGCCATTGTAAATATGCTACTTCAATGGCAAAATCTCACATTTTGATCCTCCATACTTTGGATTACTCTATGTTTAACTGCACAATATTTAATCACCATTCTCGTCTAAATGTATTTCCTTTTATCGACAAAAAAAAAAAAGAAAAAAAAAAGTAGGCCTATAAAGTTTGAGGTTTATGTTATGACATACTTGGCATCGTAGATTGGTTCCGACATGAATGGGCTAACTTTCTCAAATGACAAAATATGACATTAATTAAAAACCTAAAGGTGACCAAACACACGCACAAAAGAATAAACTTGGTCAAACATACAATACAAGTAAATCACTCTTACTGAGATGAGAATATGAGAAAATAAAGCTACGAATTGATTTAAGAGATTGGAAACAGAGACTGAAATCACTCAAACATGGCTGTCAAGATGTGAATTGGCATGTTTCTTCAACAGTTATGAATTGGCATGCAAAGTTCCACTCACCATCAGCACATAAAGAGCGGAGCAGAAGACAGAGGCTTGTTTCTTGGATGCATTGGATACCTACATAGGTATGCATCTGCATTTTTGACACTTTACAGTATCTTCAGGACCTACTTTTTAAGAAAACAACATGTATAAAAAAACTCAACCTATTTCCGCAATCAAAGACGTAATCTAACCTACACAAACGTTCATCCACAATCAGATGGATAGATCTGCACATGAAATTTGATTTAATGGGTTGCGAAACTCCTAAGTAAGTATGTCTTAGAAACCATAAGCAAATGAAGGGAAATAACGTTGGAGCTCATCTACTAACTATGTGCTCCAAAATGGTCTAGAAGTCCACAGCCCAGGCATGCAAGTCAACCATCTAATAAGTAGTAATCCTTTCTTATGGCAATTGATCCATTAAGTGATTCAAAGGTTCAGAGTACTGGTACTCAATATACTAAAGGGCTTTGACATATTGTAGCAGACTAAGGATCAGAATGGACCTCTGTAAGATAAGTTGTATACTATTCTTAATTGTATGCATCAGCTTAAGCTACAGAAAAGTCATCAAATCTTTCATAGCACAATGAATATAGCAATATGAACTGATAAAATCCATAGAATATGTAGGCAGCACGTCACCAAAAGACAGCCCCAAGCCTGATCCGGAGTCCCAAGAATTTGTTGTTACCTTTTTCAATCCTTGAGAAAAGCAAACACGTAAAACTAGCTAATATTTTGATTTTCATGAATAATGACCCATTGATCTTTGAAACTCATAATCTTCAATCTACTTCTGGAGCTGATGCTTGACACAGTTGATAGTAGAAGAACCATAGAATTATGGATTTTACTTCTCAGCACATGCAATGATATTCTAGGATAAGTACAGGTTTTCAGCCAGCACCTGCAGATTTATATCCAAGTTTTCATGGTAACATAGTATACACATCTCAAATGATGTTTGCAAACAAGCTTACTGATGAAGTAAAGCTTGCTTTCCACATGAGTGTCTCTTAGTTTAAAAAGGTGAACGAGAAATGAAAAGTAATAGGCAATAACCAACAATATAAAGTTTATAGCATGTAAAATGCATAAATACCTAAATCAGTGAAGTAGGTAAGGAATATCAAATTTTGTGCTGCAAAAGGTTACAAGTAAAGGGAAAAGAGATTGATGTGAATGTTTGGAAAACAGAGAGTGAGGCATTCAAGGCTGGAGAGATGGATAGAAGGAGATAAGGGAGATAGAGAGAGAGCAAGAGAGAGTACTGTACCTGTTCTTTTTTCACTCAATTTGTCATAGTAATCTGGAGGTCCCTTGGACTTGAGCACTGTGCTTGCCTCTGCACACAAGCCACTTGGACTTAAGCTCAGGGTCAATAAGTACAATGACAGTCGAATGCTTTCCAAGTTAAGCAGTCAGTAACTTATGAGAAGCTATGTCTATGTGCAGCCAAATATCTAATCCTAGATAAGCAGTTTTTACCTTTTATGGTCAATTGGACAATTTATACAAGCTTCTGAATCAACATTATGTAATCCTAAGGAGAAGCACCAGGATGGAATGAACATTACCCAAACCTGTAATCACAACAAAGATACCCCTTAAAATCAGTCTGCATTCATTAATAAAACATTTCTCTAAATCTGCACATGAAAATGTTTGTAAAAGTGACTGAACTGAAAGACCAGGCAAGCCAGGATCTTCAGAAGGACACCCAAGGTGTTTTAACTGAGAAGTCCTCAGTTAAGAATATCAGGACAGACTAAACAGTTTTCGTCTCAGCATACTAACATGGACAATTAGTAACCTCAAGATAATGAACTTCGGCAGAAAATGATGGAAATGTGTCTTGAGTGAATGTGTGTGAGAGATGAGAGCATAGGATGGTATTTAGGAAGCTGTGGCAGATGAATAACCAGCTGCCTTGGGGAGCCAAGCAAGGGAGAATATCCAGCCAGATGTTCTCAAGATATTTCCAAACAAAAATGTGCATTAAACATTCTCCAGCACCTCTGGATTCAGTGAACCAGTTTGCAAGCAGGCTGTTCAAAGAAATTCAAAACAAACATTGCCAAGAGTAGCCCCTAAATGGGTACACAAGTTGTTAACCAGTAACACAGAGAAGTTCTATGAACTAGTATTACAGTTTGGGTTCAACTTTAAGCCAGCATATGAAACCCAAAAATGACAACTTTCGTTTTATTTTTGCCTCTAACTTAGTTGGAATATAATTTCTGTTGGCCAGCCTTTCTGCTGGATTCTCTATTGTTAAGTTTTCTGTTAAGATTAAACTGCTTTAATAGAGAATTCAAAATGGCCAATGAAGTTGTATTATGAACTTATAGGAAGATAATGGATCAAAGTGCTGAATGTAACACAGAGGAAAACGTAATAGTAGCCAAAAAAAGAGAGAATTGCATCAATATGCTTTTATATTTATTTTTTAAGGTTAAAATGACAACTTACTTTTTATTTTTGCCTCTAACTTGGTTGGAATATAATTTCTGTTGGCCAGCCTTTCTGCTGGATTCTCTTTTGCTAAGTTTTCTGTTAAGATTAAACTGCTTTAGCTTTAATAGAGAATTCAAAATGGCCAATGAAGTGGTATTATGAACTTAGAGGAAGATAATGGATCAAAGTGCTGAATGTAACACAGAGGAAAACCTAATAGTAGCACTTTTTGCTCAACTTAACCAAAAAAAATCAATAAAAAAGAAAGACAATGCTTTTATACTTTTTTCCTACAATTACATCTAGTAGAAATATCCAACAAAAAAATTCCCTTGTGATATAAAGCCTGATTTTCCAACCTAGCCCAGGGGAAAGAGCAGCTACACAGGCTTTATCTCCATAGAAAAGTTGAGGAGATGACGCGAGAAGCAGAAGGATCAATGAACATTTCTGAGCTAGAAAAGATGAGATTGACAGCAGAATAGGATGCCAAAGATGAGATTCTAAACAGGCCAAAGCAAATTATAGGGGATCAGGATGTCTCCACAGCTCTTCTCCTTTCCTCTTCTTCAGCTTTAAGCCAAGCAGCCTAATGAGATTGAAAGAAAACATCAGAAGACCAAGAGAAGTTTTGGGTCAGACTCAGAACATAATGAAACCAAAATTACTACTAGGGGGCAAAAGTGATAGTTTTCGATTGAAAAAAAAAGGAGGACAAAAAAGAAAAAAAGAAAAGGAGAACTTGCCTTGTCCCTTTGAAGCCTAGAGAGATGAGGACGCATAGAATTTTCAAGGCTCATGCCTCCCCATGCTTCTTGTAGCTCTTTCTGCCTTGCCTCTCGGTGAGCAACTGAATGCCTAATGTGATCCTCTGATTGCTGAGCAGCTGCCACCATAATTTCTCTTTCAAATCTAGACTTGTGTTTAACCAAAACCTGATCCAAGCTGCTTTCCTGCCCACCATACTTGTCTAACTCTTTCTTGGTGTCCTTCCTCAGAACACTCATTGCTGCTTCTTCCTCTGATTGCTGAGCAGCTGCCATCTTTTCTCTTTCAAGTCTGGACCTGTGTATAACCAGAACCTGATCCAAGCTGCCCTCTTGACCACCCTCCTCATTTAACCCTTTCTTGGTGTCCTTCCTCTTAACCTTCGTTGCTTCTTTTTCCTTGGCCTTAAACTCCATTTTCTCTCTTTCCAACCTTGACACATGCTTCACTAAAACCTTATCCAAACTTTCAAAGTCTGTTGTACCATTTCCTCCATTTCTCAAATCTTGTTTCTGGATATAGCGGTGACTTCTCGATGATACTTCTTCCACTGTATCGCCCATTTGACCAACATTATCTGGTGTAGTAAGGATCTTGTGATGACAATTTCCTGCTTCTTTCAATCCATTATATTGACCTTCATGTGACAACTCTTGTGCTGCCTTCAAGGATGGTTGCTTATCCTCTCCAAGAACATTCTTGTTCAAGTCAATGTTTTCGGTCCCCTCAGGAGCATTGTCTCTTGCCGATAATGATAAAGTTTCTTCTGGAACTCCAGAAGAAGTCAAAGATCTAGCCTTTCTGCTCTCAGCAACCTTGCCACCTTCAATTGGCTCAAAATTTCTTCTGCTCTTTGCTTCCTGGACCTCCTTTTCCAGTCTAGACACATGTTTTACCAGAAACTTGTCTAGACTGGGCAATTCTGTAATATCTTGCTTTGCAGGACAGAATCTGTCCACTTTTTTGGTATTCATTTTGGAACATTTTTCATTTCTCCTCGCCTCTTCAATCTCCTTCTGAAGCTTAGAAGAATGCTTCACTAGAATAGTACCCAAGTCAGACACACTGGTATCTTTACCAACATTCTTGTGATCCTCTTTAAACATTTCCCCTGATTTCTTCATGGCCTGTTCAATTTCCAGTTCAATCATTGGAGAAGTCCTCTGAAGATTACTTCCAGAGTCTTGGTTGTTATGGTCTGAACTTGTGTAATCAAGTGAGCATAACCTATCATCATCAGGCTTATTGTCTAGCTTCTGCTCACTCAAATTGTTAGCTTCTTTCATCCTAGCATTTTTTGCTTCTAGCACCTCCTTTTCAAGTCTTGTAAGTCGCTTCACCAGAAACTTGTCCAGGCTTGGAAATTCTGTTTCAGACATCTTTTTCTTCAACTGATCCTCAATGTTAGATTTGCTTACTGATCCTGCTCCAGAAATGGACAATCTGCTACAAGCATGAGGACGTGAGTAATGATTAGCAGCAGCACTGTCTAAATTATGCTTCTTATAACCTTCTACTTCAGCAAGAGCAGCATTCAGACCACAAGTTGCTACTATAGTCGCAAGTGAAGCAAGCTCATCTTCTTGCAAACCTTTAAGCCTTTCCAGCATCATTTCCTCAAGTTTAGTCATATTAAACTTTTGAGACACTTGACTTTCCTTGTATTCCTTTTGCATCACTCCAGAAATTTCTTTCTCAAAATCTGATCCAGTATCTGATTCACATTCAGAAGAGAACTCCGAGAAGTCCTGGAAGTTTTGATCAGAATCTGGATTCTGACTGATTTTACGTAGGAGTTCTCTGAAGTCATCCTTCTTTATGGAAGGACAATTTGCAAGCTTGGTTAATGCTGCCTTTACTGCACAAGCTACTTGTTTATCCACCTCAAATGGAGTTTCAAAAGATGCTGAAACAGTATGAGTAGACGAACCTCCTCCTTTAGCAGCTGTTGTCTCAATTTTGCAACGCTTTTGAGGGCAATCTTTTATGTCATACATGGTTACACCAAGGGTAGTTGCAGCTTCAAATGCCTCTGCTGCAGTTTTTTCTGCTTCAAACATGTGAACTTCTGCACCTTTACAGTCTATCCTGTAAAATTACAGTAAAAAGATGATCAGAAAATATTCTAGACATGTTTTTCCAATCTGTCTAAGAGGGAACATGCTTCACTTCGTTTCTTAGTTTCTTATGAGGATCTCATAAAAACATCAGTACCTCGCTGCTTTAAGTATTCTGCACCAAGATGCTTCAACCATTGCAGCCTTTCGAGCCTCAATTGCCTTACTTGCAGCTTCCTTTACTGCAATTTTTTCTCTTAGTACTCTTGAGTAATGAGGATTTGAATCACCCAAAGTCTCATCCAGAGTTAAATTCATTCCATCTACTTCCTGTATATACATTGTCCGAGTCAAAAATTCGGGCAAAAGACAAACCAATTCAGGAGATGGTTGGTGCACATAAAACTACCTGCAGCAATTTTATTTTCCTTTTCAAGTATGAGTCCACCTTCTTCCGAGGGAACCAGTTTAGAGGTGAAGTTCTCCGATGAGGCGGCTTTCTAATCTGTGATGTACATTTGTTTAAGACATTCCAATTGGACTGTCCAGATTCTTTAACTGCTTTATTTTGCTACATAGCGTAAAGAGAAAATCAGAAAATGCTAAAGGACACCAAATCAGTAATAAAGGAATTTACAAAATCCGTCCGGCAATTTTCAGAAAGCTGTGCTCCAATAAACCGGAGGCGTCATCATAAACTACCAATCTACTAAACATTGTTCAATATGCTACTTAGCCTCAAGTTGATTTCAGGGAAACAATAAGAGTAACCATGTTCCTGTAAGAAGGATGAAGTTAGTCTCTATTGACACTGTCATTTTAGATTCTGCATTCCATGATTCTATCACATATCATAGGACTATGCATACTGAAAGGGCTATACTTGGGGATTAACTGATCAAAACTATACCTCTGAGCCCTTTGTTGTGTTATAACATGGTATAAGCAAACATGACAAGTAACTCAATTTAGCAATAAACAGTTGAAACAATTAACTTGTTAAGAAACTAAGATACAAATTCTTCTCATAAGAAATAAAGATGAGATGCAAAGTAGAAAAGGATCAACACAATGGGTTACTCCAGTAGTTCCAACCCAAAATCCTTCTTGTTTTTTAAAACGGTACAAAATTTCTAAACCGTACAACTTATCACTGAGGTAGAACCATTTTCCAAGATGTCAATGACTATCTGCATTTCCGTACCCTTCTAGAATTCAAAAGTTAGCGGACTTTCAAAACTTTCTTCTATTTCTTCACCCACTCATGGTAGATTTCGTTTGGTGGGG